TAAACAGACCGTGATAGCTAGATCCACGATGGAATCTGAGCTGATAGCCTTGGACAAATGTTGTGAAGAGGCTGAATGGCTACGCCATTTTTTAGAGGATATTCCTAATTGGGAAAGACCTGTACCTCCAATATGTGTGCATTGCGATAGTCAAGCTGCAATTGGACGAGTACAGAATCATATGTATAATGGTAAGTCTAGACATGTGCGTCGTAGACATAATACCATTAGACAACTTCTCACAACTGGTGTTGTCTCGATTGACTACGTAAAGTCAGAAGACAATATAGCGGATCCGCTAACCAAAGGGTTATGTAGAGTAGCTGTGGAGAAGTTAAGACGAGGAATGGGTCTAAAGCCCTTGGTATAAAGTTCTATAGTGGACACCCAACCTAGCTGGCACCTAGGTTCAATGGGACAACTAAATTATGGAACGGAGCGTGTCACTGTGGGGGTCTCGGATTCCCTACCACTCCTCGTTAGAAACAGTGGCTCCCGCACAAGGTTAGCATGTTAAATGCTTTAGTGATTCGAATGTCGGTTGACATATGTGAGTATGCGGGATACTCGGGAAAGAATCACCTATGTGAGAGAGAAGTGAGGGTCGCTTCAAAGGAGAATTGACGGGCACAATTCTTCACAAACTCTTGCAGAACCAGGAATGGTGACCCACGACCAAAATGGGCACAATCATGAGAACAAAGCATGGTTGGGAGGTTCCTGTGTGAGATATGTCATCGTCTACATAAACGGCAGTCGGTTCAAAGACATCGCGTTCTACCGTACAGTCAGTAGAGTAAATGTATCTTCACGAGGGAAGGTTCAAAGGGTGTGACCCTACCTATCCTATGCAGGGATCGACCGTTGAACACAGTTGTTTCCGTTTTAAAACTACCCCGAAAATCAATTTTCATTCATGTGGGGGATTGTTGGAAAAATTAGCTTAAAATGGCATAAAATGGCATATTAAGTGGCTATATTGTGGTACAATTATCAGTGGGGTCCACTACCGATTTGGGTCGGGTCAAAGTGGATTCGGATTCTTCGTAGTAAGACGAAGAGATTGATATATTGTACGCTCAAAACGGATAATGGGTGAATGAGATATTGATTCTCAAAGTAGACCCATTTAAGTTGGGAAATGAAGGGAAAATGTAGGACTTTGTCCCACATTGGTTTGGAAACAAGATTTGCCCCCCTTATATACATGAGCTCTTTTCAAGGTTGTAGAATTGTATAGCATAGAGGCTCTCTCGTGCGGGGGGGGGGGGGGGGGGGGGGGGGGGGTGCAAATCAAAATCCAACTAGAGGACATCAAAAAGGCTTGAAATCAAGCCCGAGCTCGTGTGCGCCGGCACCTGCGGGCACGAATGTCGTCCAGAAATGGGCTGGCCTTGCGGGCTAAGTTATGCCTAACTTCGGTATCATTTTCCATCTGTTATAGTCACTTGGCTCGGCCAAAACCGAGAACACCACTCTCGTGCTACAGAGAGCACGAGAGGTCGTGGTGCACCGAGAGCAAAACTCTCGTGCAACGGTGAACACGAGAGGTGTACTCTCGTATTGCACCATAGCACGAGAGGTGTACTCTCGTGGTGTACCACAGCACGAGAGTGTGAACTCTCGTGCACCCCAACGGTCTGAAACCCGAAAGTGCAAAAGATTAAACTCATCTGTTACGGAATTAATACTGTTTTAATTCCAATTTTTAAATTCTGAGTTTAATCCTACTTAGTGGTGACCGTTACAGGTGTTACACAATTGGTTTTAACAACAATTTAATGGCCATGTTGAATGCTATCACTCCAACATCCCTATATAAAGAGAGGTAGAGCAGTAGCATTTTACACACAGTGAGAAACAAAGGAATTCCAGTAACTTTTCATCTCAAAACTTCTGCTTCTACTCTCTTCTTTAGCCAATCTGTGTTCCAGCTTTGCTTTGTTTGCCGGGTTCCTTGTTTAGGTGCTTAAACAAGGAATCGTAGCACATTTTATCCTGGGAAACCTAGGCTACAACGCTCCTAGCACTTGTGGGAGGTAGCAAATAAGGTTTTAAGGAAAAGAACTTCGTGTTCGAACTCGTGCTAAATCCCTACCCAAACACTCAACCTTTTCCTTCCCAATTCTTTATGTTTTCCCATATAATATTAATCTTTTCGTAGGATTATTATTTTTGGGAATTTTCAACCATATTACCCAACAGAATGTAAGGTGGTAAGACTCTAAATGAACTTTCTCGGTGTGGCACAAAGCAGAAGGTGAGATTTTCTTCTAGTGAGATTAGTGATTCCTTGCTCCCAATGAAAAAGGCATGAGGGATGCAAAAAGATTCAATAGAAAAAAGTTAAAAGAGACTTTAAGCTATCCTTGCTTGAGAGAGAAAAATATGAGGTGAGCCATCTCGTAGGACTCGAGCAACGATTACACGGACTCCAAAAAAGTGTAGAGCTCTACGTGAAGGCGGTTGACTTGATGAGGTGTCCTAGAGGTGATCAGAAGAAAGAGATAAACTCACGCTAAGCCAAAACGTATAAAGAGACTTGTGTCACACAATCACACTTGATTAAATGGGTCTTTGGGACCGAATGTGGCAAAGTTTGGAAAGCCCGTGTGCATCGTTTCGATTATGGGGCTCGGCTCGGTAGGCCTATGAAGGATGTGGATTGAATCATTCCTTTTGTTTGTGGATATAAGTGTGTCGAGAGGTGTCCCTTGAGTAGCAAAAACAAATGAGTGATCTTGGGGTTTTTAGTTTCCTTCAAATTTTGAGCCAATTGAGGATGTTACACTCATTTCCACCACATTTCCCAAGTAGAAGGAAGACCAACATGTTCTTGATCTATTGTACATAGCCTATTTGCTCAATACTTTAGAAGAAATAGGATTATGATGAGTGTATTTGACATTTCTATTTGTGATTGCTTGGATTTTGTCTTGCCTGAGGGCAAGCAATGTCTAAGTGTGGGGAGATTTATTTTATTTTATTTTATTTTATTTTTATTTTTTTTTAGATTTAGGGTTTAGAGTTTAGTCTCTCACATCATATTGCTATTAAAATTAACAATGATGCACGAGTAAATATGTAAATTCATTAGTTTCCTCCCATAACATATATCAAATAAGTGAAAAACAGATTTTAAATCAAAAGCATCATACTATAATTTTGTTTTCTAGAAAAATAATCATATAGCTAAATATTTTTGAAAGGGAAAATTGTAATTTATGCCCCTCTATACTATGCCAATTATCAATGTCAGCCCTGAATTATTAGTGGTGTAAATGTTGCCCCTCAATTTTCAAAACGGTACATATATTGCCCCTCCCATACCATACGGGAGGGGCAATATATGTACCAATTTGAAAAATGAGGGGCAACATTTACACTACGGGAGGGCACTATATGTACCGTTTTGAAAATTGAGGGGCAACATTTACACCACTAATAATTCATGGGTGACATTGATAATTGACATATTATCGAGGGGTATAAATTACAATTTTCCCTTTTTGAAATGATTCAGGGAAGCTAAAAGTTAAAAGACTAGTGTAATAAAGTGAAAAATATGCAATACTTTTGAAGTCAAGCAAATTTTAGTTTCCTTCAACCAAATATGTAGGGGTATATAAACTTCCGCACAAAATCGGTTAACTGATTGAATCGAAAAAATATTTTAAATAATTATTTTTAAAAATATTTTAAAATCAGGGTCAGCTGTTAAAAATTTGAAAAATCTACAAATTAGACTATTTCATGAAATTGGTTAGTTTAGGGATTCAATTGTAATTTTTTAGGTTCAATGAACTAATTGTATTATCATGTGCAGTTCGATGGCGGGACGTTATGCCATGGAACCGTGTTCACCATTCATGGTGAACACGGTTCCAACGGTGTTAGTACACCGTTATCTTTTTTTTTTTTTTTCTTAATTAATTGCGTGACTTTTCTTCTTTATTTTCACATTTTGCGGTTTCACTTTAATTTGAGGTGAACAAAGATTTCGAACATTCATAAATTATGAATTCATGCCTGCCCATTCACTTTGGAACCATACCTACACATTCCCGTCCGAAATCACGGACATTCATAAATTATGAATCCATGCCTGCACATTCACTTTGGAACCATGCCTACACATTCACTTTGGAACCATGAGATTATGAATTTTCTGTTATAAGATTATGAATTTTCTGTTATGAGATTATGAATTTTCAGTTATGAGATTATGAATTTTCTGTTATGCGATTATGAATTTTCTGTTATGAGATTATAAATTTTCATTACATTCATAATTTCAGATATTCATAAATTATGAATTCATGCCTGCACATTCACTTTGGAACCATGCCTACATATTCCCGTCCGAAATCACGGACATTCATAAATTATGAATCCATGCCTGCACATTCACTTTGGAACCATGCCTACACATTCACTTTGGAACCATGAGATTATGAATTTTCTGTTATAAGATTATGAATTTTCTGTTATGAGATTATGAATTTTCAGTTGTGAGATTATGAATTTTCTGTTATGCGATTATGAATTTTCTGTTATGAGATTATGAATTTTCATAAAATTCATAATCTCATAACAGAAAATTCATAATTTGATCAAACGCGCGCCGTTAACTCCACATCCACGAATTTTTTTTTTTTGGCCTAAAAACGACGTCGTTTTGCCTTGTGTTCACCATTCTCGGTGAACACGATTTCATGGCATAATTTGCGGTTCGATGGCTTATTTGGCTCTTATTCCTTTCCAAAATTTTATATGTAAATTGAAATTATTTTTTACAATTTTGCTAAGAGAAAAATCCGTGATAATATATTTTCCTTTCATACTCCCAAATATAGCTGGCAATTAAAAAATATAAAATATAAAAAATATATAAAAAACAAATTGCATAGCCCTCATATTTTTGAGTTGAATCTAGAGAGTGTGTGACAAGTGAGCACTGTAGACTACATTTCAATTTCAATTCCCATTCGAAAAATCTCAGGAAAGCCGTAAAAAAACAAAGAAAAAGGAAAAAAAAATAAAAAAAAATCAACAACCCATTTCTAGTTTCTCCATTGGGTCTTCAAAAATTCCATATTTTTCAACAATTTTCTCTCCCTTACTCTGCCCACTCCAAACCCTCTCAGATCCCTCGTTGATTCAATGGCTCTTGATCTTTGTAAGGTTCTTTAGGTAAACCCATTGTCTTTTGGATTAAAAGAGAAGTTAGTTCATTTCAACTTGATGTTCGTATTTCATGATTTTCATCTGTGTTTGTGAGTTTTTTTTGGTGAATGTGTGTGCGTATCTATGTTTGATGAGTGGAGAATGTACTAGTTGTCCATCCGATATTGAATCTGAGTATGTAAAGATTGGATCTTTTTTATTTATTTATTTATTTTTTTTAAATAAGTTGGGTTGGGTTTGAAGATCTAGAGTAGTGTATTTACTTCTCTTCAGTTTTGTCCTTTTGTGGTTAGCATTTTGTTTGAGATGAAAATTATTGTCTCGCTTTTCTTTGTATCGATTAGGTATTTCCATGAGTTCTGTGTTTAATGATATATGTAATTGCTTATCAAGAATTTTTGTTGAAAAGCCTTCTTAGTGAGAAGGCAGAGAATGAACACAAATTTCAGCACTTTCCTTTGCTCTCTTTCTTTTTCATCATTGCTAATTCTGAGCAAAGATGATCTTTCCTGATGAATGGTGCATATGTAGGAGTATGTTACCGAAATGAAGTTATCGTATGGTGTAAACATTTTTATCATATGCTTAATGTTGCTTTGGAAAATGCCCAGGTTAGCAATATGTATTATGCAGTGTCAAAGAAACTTGTTTTTGACTTTGTATCATCATTGTGCAATAAATTTCTTGAATATATTTCAGTCTCATCTCTATATATTTCCTTGATATTGATATTTTGGGTGTAACGGGGAAGGGTGCATTATAGGCATGTTTGCATATGATTTTCGAAACTTAATTATCCTATAACTTATATTTGGGGGATTCACTGTTCCTTCTTTATCCTTGTAGTTAGTAGGTTGCAATCTGGCAACTTGCAAAGCCCAATGGATATAGATGATAACAAATCAACTGAAAACGGGGTACACTGTGAAGGTGAATTTCACGAGCAACTTCCTAGTGCGGGGGAAGATGTTTTTGCAGAGAAGTCTGATGGGATGCCCAATGGCACTTCTACTACTGAAGAGCTGGGATGTTTGAAGAGCACTGAAAATTTGAATGATGATGAAGCTGTTGACTCTTTTGTTGAAGAAGTTAAAACCGAATCAATAGTGCCTCCAGAAAGCTACCCTGCTACTGGTTCTAAGGTAGGTGTTTTAACATGGTGCAAATTCAACTATTAATTCTGTTTCTTTTCAACCCACGACGTGTGTAATCTATTTATTTCTAGCAGGAGCCTGAAGTTTCAGATTCCGGAGAGCCCAAGAGTGGCAAAGTAGAAAAGGCTCTTAGCAAGCCCAAAAATGGTAAACCTTTGAGCCTTAAGCATGCTGTGACTGCTGGGTCAAAGAAGGGGAAATCTGGAAAAGATGGTTCATCTAGTTCTGTGGTCTCAAATGGTACTGTTTCCTTAGAATCACGGGCCAAACAGCCATCTGCTCTTAGGGCAAAATCATTTGACGAGAGGAAAACAGCTGAGAGCAATTTAAAGCCAGTGAAGGTTAATCATGCTAAGGTAGAAGATGATATCATGATGGATTCTGATATTTATAACCTACCTTTTCTTTTGTGGTTTTTTTGGTTGGTGATTATTTGTAACCATGGGTTGTTGATTACTTATCAAACTTTCCTGTTGGTAAGCAGCAGTCTGGATGCTCTGATGTAACATCTCCTCAAAGCGCTGCACAGCTTGAAGGTGTTAAGTATGTCAAGTTTTCCCTAATAGTTGTATTCCCTTTTGCGTGTAGCTGATTGGGTTAGAAGATATAACTAGTTGATAACATTAGTTGATCGTAGAAAGGTGTTTGGTAAATTAGTTGTTAGCTGATAGCTGTTTGGTATAATTTTTTTTCTCAAAAAGCTAATTGAAAAAGTTGCTTTGAGCAGCTTTTTGAATTTTAGCATTTTGGAGTTACAAAAAGCTGATTGACCAAACACTTATATTGATTTTTTAACCAAGTCAAACAGTTAATAGTGGTCAAATAAGCCAAAATTGGCTGATAAGCTAACTATTTTACCAAACAGGGTCATGTCATCTGTATATGCTTATCAAGTATAAATACGTACGTGCTATCAATTTTGGTAATCTATTGGCAAGCTTTTTCTGCAGTTTTCTGAACTCTATTTTATTTTATTTTATTTTTTTAACTTCAGAGAAAAGCCTACACTGAAGCCACTGAAGAAAGGTCCCCCAAGTAAAGCTGAAGTGACTCAATCTCCTTTGTATCCTATCGTAACAATCCTTTTGTTTCTCACTTTCTCCTGTTAAGAAATTATCATTTTGCTAGTATTTTGTTATTAATGTTCCTTTGGCTTATCCTTAAGCACTTTATAGAAGTCCTACCACTGAAGATGCTAAGTCTTGCAGAGTTGGTACTCTTCCAACTTATAATTTCAGCTTCAAATGTAATGAAAGAGCTGAGAAAAGGAAAGAGGTTAGCTTTGTCTTTCACTAGAAATACTGATTTTTAACTGTTGGTTATAAGCTGAGTAATTCACCTTAATTTCCTTCTGTTCCTACTTGTTAGTTCTACACTAAACTTGAGGAAAAGATCCATGCAAAGGAAATGGAGAAGAATAATATGCAAGCAAAGACTAAGGTGTGTATTACTACCATTTTTATTGTACAGTATATTCAGATTCTTGAGAGTGTTATGCATTTGGTTTTTTTGTCATTATCATTTTCATTTTTCAACAGGAAACCCAGGAAGCCGAGATCAAAATGCTAAGAAAGAGCTTAGCTTTCAAAGCGACTCCAATGCCAAGCTTCTATCAGGAACCTCCACCTCCTAAGGTGGAGCTGAAGAAGGTCCAATCCGCCTATTATATATGTTATGAAAGTGCATATTTCCTTGTTGCATATAATTTAGAGAACCCCCTTTTTTTCTTCATTTATCCCTTCCTTTGGTACTTGTAGGGAAAAAAAAAAATTGGAAAGTTGAAATGGTTACACCTTGTTGTTTAGTTCTCCTGAAGTCTAGAACCATATCAGCATTCCCTTTATTACATTGTACTTCAAGATTGAATATACCATTACAGGATTGTTTGCAAAGAGTTCACCTTATTTAGAGGTGCTTTTATCTAGTTTATAGTTAGTCTTTCATCCATCCTTAACCAAAGGTCAAGGGTTCGATCCTTGGCTTTGGGTATGGACCAGCCTTAAATCTCCAGGCCAGCTGTCCCACCCAAAAGAGGTGCCTACAATTCAGTGAGGGGATTAGTCACTGTGTCCGACGGTAGAAACCCTGAGTATACCCAAAAAAAATAGTTAGTCTTTCTCCATAGTATTTAGCCATTTAAATGTGCACATGGGCATGATATTGAATTAAAGGGTGCTCGGTGAGTATTTGAATATTCATGGCATACAGGGACATATCATACTAAATAACAAAACGGCCTTTTTGAAGATAAAGGAACTCCATTGTCATAACCTTTCAACCTCCTAGTAATGAACCAAGCACTATATGTGCTTTACAATCTTTGATTCTCTTTTTATCTTGTTTTGGGAAATATGGTCATTCTTTCTTTATAACAAACTCCAGCCTAGGAATATTTTTTAATCTTAGCCCCATGTAATTACTAGTGAAATATAGGGGCACTTTATGGCATTTGTTTTTTATAGGGTTCATATATAATGGATTCGTTGTATTCCTATGGTCAAATGATCATTTGGATTGCAACTGAGCTCTCGTTCTTTCATGCTCCCATAGTCCCATTCCTATCATGTAAATCGGTAAGTAATTGGCTCGAGTTTATAAGCTACATTATAAGTAATTGGCTCGAATTTAGAAGTATGTTTAAAGATTAGTGTGACTTTTTATTCTTTTGTATAGGTCCGATGGATGATTTTCAGTGCATAATGCTTATGTGCTGCTATTAATGAGTTCTTTTTAAGTCGTATTTTTATAGTGATTATTGTTAAGGTCTAATTGTACTATCTAACTGTTATACAGATTCCAACAACAAGAGCCAAATCTCCCAAGCTTGGTCGGAAAAAGAGCTCGCCTACCGATGAGGAGAGCAATTATCATGGCACGCACCACAGGTTGAGCTTGGATGTAAAAGTATCCCAGGATGAACCTGCCAAAGTGTATTCTCTTGTAAGTGTGAAAACCCCCCAACGGAAGTCCCTTCCTAAACTTCCATCTGAAAAGACCAATTTATCCGGTGAAATGAGGAAAGTACCTTCTCGCAAGTCCAAGGAGACAACTGAAATCACATCTCGACCAAACAATGCAGCCAGCAAAATTGGTGAAGCTACATCTAAGGAAACGAGCAAAGAAACAACCGTTGAGACAAACGATACTGAAGCCAAGGTAAATGATAAGTTTGTCATTGAAGATCAAGGACAGTTAACTATGGTGCAGGAATCTATCGCAGTGGATCATTAAGAGCAAGAACTGGAGCCAAAAATATATTTATTAAGCAGCAACCATAAACCCATCTTTGCGAAAATATTGGAAAGGTATCAACAAGACTCGAGTCATTTGACAAATGAAGGCATGGCCGATATTTAATAGGGGGATGGGATGGGGGGATGATGTGTCATTTTGTCCATAGTCAGTGATGTGGCTTGGACGTGTAATCTGCACTTTCTTTCAAGATTGCTGAGTTTCGGTCATTTGGAATTGCTTGCTAGCAGATTGTAAAACTGAAAGTCTACTAGTGTTTGCACGATTTGTTGGTTGCAGGTTTTGGTTAGATGAGGGCTCTAGTGAGACCCCCCGCGCTAGACTAGCAGGAAATTCTTGAGAAAATTTGTCTTGAAATGGTTCAAGATCCGAGTCTTCGACAATTTTTAGAATTTGGCTTGTGCTGGCTGTTAAACTGTGATGCCAAACTGTCTACTGTTTGTCAATTATGGTGTATCTATATTTGTTAAATGATTCCCATTGTTTGTTGTTTAAGGTAACCTTAATACTTTTTTTGTCACATTGGAAGAAATATTAATGTCTGAAGTGCATTTCTTGGAACCCCAAATTAAGTAGTGAGGATTGGTGGGAGATAAACAGATCTGGTGCCATGAATGGGAGCTTTGGTGTCTGGGAAATAGCTTTCCACTCCTGCATGTCCTTGGACCTCTCCCTTTGGTGAGATATGTACAGGGTAGGTGAGAAGATGGCCTGGAAGATCTTTCTCCTGCGTCGCGCTTATATACATGCTCCAGTTCTCGTCGCCAATGGCGTTTACTGTCTTCACGCATTCTAGACTTTCAGGGTGGAAGAACGAGTCGTCTACATAGTTCATGTGCTCACACCATAAGGCCATTCTGAACCCGAAAATCTTCCCTCTAGCCGGTTGATCAGGGCGTGCCAGGTGCATCGGTTGGTACCCTCCCATCGCGATCTCTGAGTCTCTCGCCCCGTCCATTGAGCGTTGGTTGATGTTGGCAGATCCAATTATAATGTACTCATCATCAACTATCCAAAAATGGAAAACTGTTAGCACTTAGGATCAAACACTTATCACTACACCGAACGCTACAGCGAATGCGCAACTTTATACCGCCACACATTTTCAAAACATATGTTGGGTATTGGACTTGACCCTTTAAGCCATCTACTGGCCTCCGCCCAACAATCCCCCAGCCACCCATAGCTAGACTTGACCATTTACTGACTTTGCTAGATTTGACCATTTATTGGTTTCCGCTCAACAATCCCTTAGCCACCAGGAGCTAGACTTGGCCATTTATTGGCTTCCACCCAACAATCCCCCAACCACCAGGAGCTAGACTTGGCCATTTACTGGCCTCCGCCCAACAATCCTCCAACCACTAGGAGCTAGACTTGGCTATTTACTGGCCTCCACCCAACAATCCTCCAACCACCAGGAGCTAGACTTGACCATTTACTGGCCTCCGCCCAACAAGACTCCAACCACCCAAAGCTAGACTTGGCCATTTATTGGCCTCCGCCCAACAATCCTCCAACCACCAGGAGCTAGACTTGGTCATTTACTAGCCTCCGCTCAACAATCCTCCAACTATCACCAAACCCCCGTTGCCTGTTATGAATAGAAAAAAGAGCTAAACTTAGCCTTATTGACCTCCACCCAACAATCCTCCAGCCATCAAGTGCTAGACTTGGCCTTTACTGGCCTCCGCCCCATAACATTATATTACATTTTGATATGAAATTGCAGGTGGAAGGAAGGGGTTGCTCAGGACAGTCAACAGTATTTACCTATCATCATTTTGGAGTGGACATAGATCATGAAGCGCCTGGATTCTTGAGCCCTGGCATAATCACTGTCAGGACTAGGCTTCTCAGGAGGATCATACTCATCTGGGAGCTTGATTTCGCGATTCCCCAGGCAAAAGAACGTCAAGTATTCCCTAAGATCTGCAGAAATTCCCTTAGCGTTCAAAGCAGAAGCAATATCAGTGTACATCATCTCCATCGTCCTCCTTTGCCAATCAAGAATCGCCTGCACACTTTCACTCTCCGGCACCCCTTCCGGCCACATCGGGATCACAACGTACACCGTGAACCTCTCCCCGGCCTCAATCTTGCTCACAATCTTCAAACTCAGCTCCTTCGGGATCAAATGAATCGCGCCAATATCCTCCAATTTGAACTCCTTTGAAGCACTCCATCCATACGAGCTCCCCAGGAAGTACTGGTTCTCAATGTAGATGAAATTCTTGGCGCGACGAATGGCATTGATATATGCATCTTGAATGCTATGATCAATCACGTGGTTTTTCCCAGTTATCAGCCCACTCTCCGCTGCCTCCACGGGGTTCCCGGGGAACCCAGCGGCGTCGTTCCCGTCGATGGACCGGAAAATCTGAACGTTCCACCTCTCGGGATCATCCGAAACCGGGAATTCTGAGGGGCGGATAGTTAATCCTTGGAGCTCCTTCATGGAGTATATGTACTTATCCCCGATATGTTTCTTCCATCTCTGCTCGAAATTATAGAGCACATCCCAGGCCGCAGGGCCTTCTAACCTGCATTTACGGATGTGCAAACTTCGGTAAATTTTCAGTTATTCAATCAAACAGACAGAATTCGTTAATCCTTTTTAATCCAATTTTTTTCAGTTCATTGGTTAAACATTTTTTAAAATTTGGATTAATGGTTAATTCGGTTCGGAACAGTCACTTAACTGAATTAACCAACAGTTAACCAAAATTTTAAATATATATAAAAATAAGTATATAATTGTCATTATATTGTTTTTGTATATTTTCTTATGAATTTATTATTATATGTATTATTTTAATTGGATTTATTATTATATGTATTACTTTTAGGATTTTAAAAAAAAAACTTAGATTCAGTTAATTCAGTAATACAAAATTTAGTTTGATTAACGGTTAAAATTTTTGTTAAAACTGTTCGATTAACCAAACGGTTACCCGATTGAACACTCCTACCTGCAATGAATGTCGTGCCAGGGCTCCCTCGGGCCGCCTTTATTCACATTCGCTCCTAGGAAATTGGGCTGGTGGAAATCCTCCTTGTGGGTTGTGTTTAATGTCCGGAATAACGAATGTTCCCTGGTATCATACCGGCCGTCACAGAGATCAATCCCACCCAGGAAACTAAGAATAGTCCGCTTTCCAGAACTGCCGCCGCCATGGAGCTCGCTATCCACTATCAGTGTTTTCTGGTGGTGAGTGAACACTGTTGTTCTGGTGGTGAACTGGATTCCTTGCAGAATGGAGCTCCCGTAATCGGAATTTCTCGGGGATAGGAAACAATGGACACCCGTATCCCGGAAATAATCGTAGGTTTCTTGGTCGTGGGTTGCCATTAATCCATCCCTCTTGAAAACCTCGATGGATGTCCGGTCGTCCCAAACCAGGACCAGAACGTTAACCCCTTCCTTGGCTTTCGTCTTTAGCAGATCGCCGAGAAACATCTCCCCGCCGGGTTTCTGTCTCGCCGGGTCTCTAACCAACGATATCTTCGTGTAAACGGACCACCCCGTGATGTAAATCAAATGCCGGGCATTAACGATCGCCTGAAAAATGTCTTCCCAGCACCGATCGGGGTCGGCGAAGCCCTGATCTTGGAGATACTTAGCCATCTTGTCGTCGGGGACGTGGGCGTCGGCGTAAAGCCTGACGCTGCAATTTTGCCGTTCCTTAAAAAAGGTGAACGGGACGGCGCCGGAATCCGGCGCCGGGATCCCTCTAGACCAATCGTCTTCTTCTTTTACGCTCGAGTATTGTAATCTGATGTGGATTCTTGGGTGGCCGTGGATGGGAATGCCTTCTTCGTCGAGAATTGGGAGCCATGTGTCCACCACGTACTTGTTCACCACCTCCGCCGCCGGGAGATAGGCTCTTCCGATGAGCGTGGCGTCGATTGGGTCGTCATATTTCACCGTGAAAATGACGTGGGAGATTGCGTGGGCGCAGTAGATTCGGAATGACTCGTTCCATATGGGATTGGAATGGTGGTAATGGTGGTTTTCTACCACTTGGGTCCTCCCCACTCTTGCCTTGTCTAGATCAATGGTTGCATAGAGCTTAGTACCTGTAATCTGATCAACAATTTTCACCAAGTTATTTAAAAAAAAATTATATTTTGATTATTTATGAATTGACCGACATAAAATCGTTAACGAGGTGTTTGGTACACCGTAATTGCAATTCTTAATTACAAATTTACAATACAATTCTTTGGCCGGACAAATTACATTGTTTGGTTTCAATGGTGCATGGAAAGGAAAAAAAAATAAGAAAAAGACTTTTTTGCCCTTAGTAGTTATTATTTTTAATTATTATATAGGGGCCGGCATTTTAGTTTTATATCACTTTTTCCATTCTCATTCTTAATAATTTTATTCTCCCCTACCAAATAATGTATAATTTGAATTCCTACTATATTTTCACCAAATTACAATTCACTTCCTCCTAGTTCACTGTAAAATAGGTTCAATTTTACAAGTTAGGCCCATTTAACACATTTTGAAGACAAGTTCGGTTATAAATTTCACATAAGTTACCGGTTGGCCTGCCAACTCACTCTTACATTACATGGTGTTTGATTGGGAGAAGCCGAAAAGGGATTATGGGGGAAAAGAATAATGTGCTAGGAATTCAAATTACATTATTTGTTGAAATAATAGAATTACTAGGAATATAATAGAATTACTAGGAATATAATTGAAAAGAAAGAAGTGATATAAAAATTAAAATGCCTTTCTGTTAATACACCTTTTTTTTCCTATAAGTACAAAGCAACAAAACACATGACCATTCTAACATATGAATTGTAAATAAAATATCCCAAATATTTAAATATAAATAGACCTTTTCAAAAAAAAAAAAAAATCATAATAACCTTGAAACTTTATAAACAATGAGGACATTAACAAAGAAATTTAGAAATGGTAATACATAAAAAAAAAAAATTAAAAACCGAAAATAACAAAAAAAAAATGATATAGATATATGGACACCTTCTTTTAATAATCAATAATTTATTATCCAAATATTTTTTTTTTGAAAGTAATTTATTATCCAAATATTGTTGTATTGTTAATTAAAATTATTATTGTTGCATTTTAAAATCTAAGGTAGATCAAATGAAAATATACAAGGAAACCAGGGTACCTCTGGCCTACACAATATGAATCTCTTGATGCTGTTGAGGAACTTTTTGGTTGACGATTTTGCAGAGGAATCCTTCAAGTTTCCAAGAAAAAAAAAAAAGTAAAAATTGAGATAAGTAAATTAAGGTGTAACAAATTAGCAGGCTAGTACAATCTGTCAATATCAATAGAATTGCTTCATTTAAATATATAGTTAATTCTATTTTTTGTCCTAGATTTATAGGTAACATTTTATTTTTAGTTATTTTTTTAGAACATTTTTCTTTGATCATAGTATTATTGTGGCATGATCATTTCTTGTACTCCATCAAAAAATCATTGAAATGTCATGAAATATAAAGGCATTTTGATTTTTTAAATACAAAATGGGTTGACCAGCTATATTTTTATTTTTATTTTTTTAAAAAAATTATAATTAAATACCTAAATGCCCCTGTATTTTACAAAATTTAAATGATTTTCTTGATGGAGGACTAAAAATGGTCATACCACAATCATATTAGGACCAAAGAGGGATATTTTGAAAATAAAAAACTAAAAGTGAATTGTCACCTATAAATCTAGAACAAAAAATGGAATTAACTCTATTATAATTTTGCGGAGTTAATTCTTGGTTTAGTTATTGAATATGATGGCACTTTTTGATTTAATTATTTACTAATAATTCTTTCTAATTTTGTCTTCAACTTATTCAAAACCTAAATCTTTATTCAATTGTTTAAGTGATTTGACAGGAATTTCGATAGGGTTAAAGATGGAATCTAATGGGATAAAGTATTTTATTTTTCAAATCCTCAAACTTTACAGGAGATGAAATTGTAAAAGAAAAGTTAATTAAATTAGGCATGCGGGTCTAATGGTATCCGGGTTGGACTTCCATTTGGAAGATTGTGATTTCGAGCCTCAGTGGAGGCTACTACATTGTAATAGAGCTAGTAGCATTCAAAAAAAAAAAATTAGGCATGCATAATCACTAAAGTAAATGGTTTATAAAGTCAAATTATCTGTCAATGCTGACTAAATAAAAAAAAATGTCACCACTATAAAAATCAAATCGAGAGTTAAATTTAATAGATACTTTAATAGTGATATTAAAATTTTAAAAAATATTAATTGGCGAAAAAAAATAATACCTGAACAGTACTACAAAAATCAAAGAGACCACTCGATATCTTATCAACCTCAAAGATGGTTGCATATAGTGTCCCATGCAACAATTGCTGCCCCATAGTTGATTCACGTACTAGAAACACCCGCAAAAACCAACAATGTTAAAACCTCAATACTATTGAGACATTATACGTAACTATAATTAATTAATAGATATTAGCAACAAAAAATACTGAACAAAAAGTTATACATACGCTCAAGACTTCGTGATCCGCGAACACCGACCTATGACTTTATGTTATAATGTCATAGATTCGACATCCCTTTTCCAGATCAACAAAAAAATAAGGCTATATATGTATAATGGATATCAAATTACAACATACATTTGTAGATGAAGAAAGCTTTTGGAGACAATCAAAGGTTTGAAGACATGTGGATTGATATATATATGGGAGGGAGCTAAAGGCTAAAGGGAAGATGAAGAATATCCTGTTTGGAAGAAAGAATGATGGTTTGCTTTGTGTGTTCCATTGTACAATTATGTTTACTAAGTTTGGGAAGAATGTTTACTAAGATAAGAAATTGTTTTTCCTCTTTGGTTTTCTCCTGCAACAAGTTACGTGGAGAAAAGAACATCCTTAGATTGGGAAAGTTCTGAGAAGCTAAGCCTTCAAAGAATAACATTTTGGTTGAACCAAGAAGCAATTCACTTATTAATTAAGCATTCAGTATGCCTTGGCCCATGGGTGATGGGACTGCAATACAATAGTTATTGTGTGGCTCGAGATCCACATAGTTGTGTGGACCATTGTCTAAAAATGACGTCATTTTGCGTAATTTATTTTACACGCAACCCACTTCAATATATATTTTTATACTCCATTCGTCCCATTTTATGTGTTTGGTTCGGTTAACGAGGTTTGACTGAAGTTATTTTTAATCCAAATTTTCATAATATTAAATTTTGTATTAGTATACAAAATTTATATATTTAGAAACTACACTAAAAGTACTATTAAACACAAAAAATTAAATTTAAAAAATAGTAAAAAATACTAAAGAAAATAAATAAAGAACAAAGAATTGGTTTGACCAATGAATAGTAAGTAAGACAAATAAAATGAGATAGAGAGAGTAATTCATAATGTACATTATTCTAACTCATAATGTAATTTCATTATTCTAACACATAATGTACATTATTCTAATTCATCAAATTCAACGATGTGGTTTTGGACCACAGTCCATACAATAATTTGCCACTGCAATAATCCAATATTTTTTTTCTTTTCCTTCTATCAGCAAAACATATTTTTTTTTAAAAAAAAAAGGTATTTAATATATTAATTAAGTAATATGTTTTCAATTTTTCTATATTAAGCGTATAAAAGAAATATGTTATAATTTCAAATACATATTGTATTTATAATAAAAGAGTTTCTAAAATCTATTTTGATGGGTTGAAATTACTTGATAATAATGCTTGTGTTATTATTATTATTATTATTTTTATTGCATAATGTTCCTAAAATCCTTGTGTTAATTGGTTGATAGTGTAGCTTTATGTGTGACTTTGTTATTGATAATTGATAATTAAATTTGATATAATATTAAGTCGAAATTTAAAATGTACAGTAGTTAACAACCATGTTACTAATGGCCCCTCTGTGGCTCTCCTTGGTCGAATCCTGGTGTTGGCGTATTAACTCTGTGGACAACATATAGATAAAGTATAGATCAGATAATAATGTAACTAATTAGTATTCAAAAAAATAATGTAACTAATTAATTGAAAGAAAAAAAAAATTTAGCATTCCCCCATTGCATATTTAAAATTATTTTCTATTATTTACTTACTCCAAATTATTGGTTTAACTTTAGAACTCAATAGTTTTTGGTTGTACTTGGAATTAGATAAAAATAATAATAATTTATTTAACACTTAATTTTGAACAAAAATATATTACTTATATATCACTTTTGTGTATTATCATGAAATTAGAACTTGACATTTTAAATGATGATCTTTTACATCATATCATAAAATAGTAGTCAATAGGACATTTAGTATGGGCAATATATAATTTTAGGTTTCCTATCACCATCAATAATAATTTAAAAGCATTTTTAAGAAATTAACAAAATCTAAACTAATTAGTGTCTTTTCAGTTTCTTAGTCAATCAGCGAACAAGCTTGCTCGTGCTTTAGCTAGGAAAGTTCGTTCTTAACCTGGTCTTGGTTTTTTGTTTAATTCTATCCCTTCTTTTATTGAACATCTTCTTTAATATAAGGGTCCGTTTGGAAAGCAGGAAAATGACTTCTGGAAAATGATTTCTGGAAAATGAGTCATTTTTCGGAAAACATTTTCCTTTTCCAGTGTTTGGTTACATTTGGAAAACTGTTTTGGTGTGTTTGGTACATTTTCTGAAAAATGAGTAGAATGGTATTATTAAATATTTTAATTATTTTATTTTAAATTAAAAATTCATTTTAAATCTTAAAAAAAAAAACAAAAACAAAAACAAAAAACAAAAAACAAAAAAACAAAATTTTGATTTCCGGCGGAACCCGGTTCCGCCAGAAACCATAGCTATGGTTTCTGACAGAACCCAGTTCCGCCGGAAACCATAGCTCTGGTTTCTGGCGGAACAGTTCCGCCAGATTTTTTTTTTTTTTTTTTTTTAAAAAATTGAAAGAGAAAGGCGGAAAACGACTTCCGCCCAAATTTGGCGGAAGTCATTTTCCGCCAAATTGGGCTCATTTTCCCCAGTCAACGGAAAATGGATTCCGTTGACTGGATTTTCCAGGTGTAGCCAAACACCAAAAACTCGGAAAATAATTTCCAGAAGTCATTTTCCGGGTTTCCAAACACAGCCTAAGTTCTTGAAGTTTTTCCTAAAAAAAAAATAAAAAAATAAAATTGACAATTATTAATTTGGCAGGAAGGTAATTAAAACATTAGAAATGTTTGAAAACATCAAAATATTATTTATAATAAATTTATTTAATCATAATAAATTGATTATAAATTTATCCGAGCACCGCTCCACATTACACTAGTTAGAAAACTAATGTATTGAACCTGGTTGTTGATTTGTTGCAATAAATTTGCTTGAGTTATTGTAATAGAGATATTCATTTATCATTAGATTATGTAATATATATTGTGTATACTGTATACCATCCTTTAGAGAAAGGAGAATTACTTCTTCCCTTTTTTTTTTTTTTTGAAAAGAGAATTACTTATATAGTGTGAACATGGTAAATAGTAAACCTGAAAAAAAAAAAAAACTTATAACCACTATAAATGTCCATTACAAAATGACTAAAGTGATGCCACAACACAATTTTTAATGATTAGTTAACAAGATTAAAAAAAAAAAAAAAAAAAACTTATAACCACTATAAATGTCCATTACAAAATGACTAAAGTGATGCCACAACACAATTTTTAATGATTAGTTAACAAGATTAAAAAAAAAAAAAAAAAAAAACGTCATTACAGAAAATAAAATTAAAAAAAAAAAAGAATAAAAACTAAAATAGTAGATGTAACAATATAATAACTACTATAATTTCATATGATGTTTTTAAGAAAGTACAGCCTTCAACTGCTTCAACATTCTTCCTTAGATCATAAATGTTTATAATTCAACTAAATGCATGACCAATTCATGGAAGGCTTTTACTGCTGAAACTCCCTACAAGAACATCAATTCTACTAATTAGATTCTTTTGTCAAGGACAAAAGAAATTGTAAGAAAAATCTTAAAGAGTTTCGGCATAAGAAAAATAAATCACAATAAAAAAACTTTGTGTGATGGGCTTAACCAAGAAAGTGTTGCCAATAATCGAAAATCATAGTACCTTAAAACTCCAAAACCTTTCTGCCTGTTTCTTGTTTCTCAGTAATTAATGTTTGTGAATTCCGCAGTATACAGATGTGTTCGACAAAAAAAAAAAAACACACACACACACACACACACATATATATATATATATATATATATATATATATATATATATATATATATATATATTGCTGCATTAGGATACAAATTTGCCATTGATACTATATTCCATAGTAATAATGGAAATGTCAAATGACTAAAACCTTACCTTACCTGATTGCTATTTTTGTGAGCAACCTGAACTTTTGAATTCACCAAAGCATTAATGCATTATACTGCCTTTTGGCAATTTCACCACCAACAAGACTACAAGAAAGCACATTAACCAATATGAAACTTGTTGAGTTTGGTTGTCCTAGCTATGTTCTTATTCCAGGTGATGAGAGATCAAAGTTAGATCCCAAGTCGAAGAAGTGCATCTTTTTGGGTTACAAGAAAGGTGTAAAAGGATATAAGTTTTGGGATCCTGCAACCAAAAAGGTGGTGATTCGCAGAGATGCAGTGTTTGATGAGAATTTCATGTTCCAGCCAAAGAAAGAAGATACACTAGTTGATGGTTCTAGCACAGTAGAAGTGGATATGGATCGTGTACCTTTGAGTGAGAAAGTAGTTAATCCACCTACGATTGAGACTCAAGAAGTTGCAGATCCTACATCTGCAGCAGGTTCGAGTTCAGAAAATTTACAAGATTACAGTTTGGCTAGAGATAGACCGAGACGCACCAATGTCAAACCACCTAGTAGGTATGGGTTTGAGGATATGGTTTCTTTTGCACTTCTTGTTTCTAATAATGATCCAGTTACCTTTCAAGAGGCTATTTCTAGCCAGGAGAAAGATAAATGGATGGCATGTATGATTGAGGAGATGGAGTCTTTACATCATAATCATACTTGGGAGTTAGCTCAACTTCCTCAAGGAAAGAAAGCTATAGGGTGCAAGTGGGTCTATAGAAAGAAGCCACCAGTATCAGAAAAAGAAGGGGAAAGGTTTAAGGCTAGGTTAGTTGCGAAAGGGTTTTCTCAACAGAAGGGGATAGATTATGATGAGGTTTTCTCTCCTGTTGTTAGACATACTTCTATCAGATTAGTACTGGCTTTGGTAGCTATTTGGGATTTGCATTTGGAACAAATAGATGTGAAAACTGCTTTTTTACATGGTGATCTAGATGAGCAAATTTACATGAAGCAACCTGAAGGGTTTGTTAAACCCGGAGGTGAGCATCTGGTTTGTCGACTCAAGAGGTCTTTGTATGGGCTGAAACAGGCTCCACGGCAGTGGTACAAGCGGTTCGATGCTTACATGATTCAAATTGGCTATACACGTTGTGAGTATGATTGTTGTGTCTATGTTAAAAGCCTTGGTGATGGTTCTTTTATTTTTCTGTTACTGTATGTGGATGATATGTTGATCGCTGCTAAGAGTATGAATGATATTACTGCATTGAAAGTTTTGTTGGGTCAGGAATTTGATATGAAAGACTTAGGAGTTGCACAGAAAATTCTTGGCATGGAAATTCACAGGGATAGAGGTGCAAGAAAGTTGTGGCTAACTCAACAGAGTTATATAGAGAAAATTCTTGACAGGTTTGGGATGAGTAAGTCTAAACCGGTTAGTACCCCTTTGGCTAATCATTTTAAACTCTCATCCAGTCAGTGTCCCCAAACAGTTAGTGAGATTGAAAATATGGCAAAGGTTCCTTATGCTAGTGCAGTTGGCTGTTTAATGTATGCAATGGTTTGTACTCGACCTGATTTGGCTCATGCTATTAGCCAAGTTAGTAAGTACATGTCTAAACCTGGGAAGCAGCATCGGGAAGCAGTTAAATGGATTCTCTGGTACTTAAGGGGCACTATGGAGCATGGTATTATATTTGGGAGTCAACAGAATGAGCATGTACTCATGGGATATGTGGATTCTGATTATGCTGGTGACATGGATAATAGACGTTCTACAACAGGGTATATTTTTACTCTTGGGGGTGGTCCTATTTGCTGGAGATCATCAGTTCAATCTATTGTAGCTTTGTCTACAACTGAAGCAGAATACATGGCTGTGACTGAGGCAGCTAAAGAGGCTTTGTGGCTTTCAGGTTTGATTAAGGAGTTGGGTATTGAGCAAGATGGAGTTCAATTACACTGTGACAATCAAAGTGCCATTTTCTTAGCTAAAAATCAAGTATACCATGCCAGAACCAAACATATTGATGTAAGGTTTCATAAGGTTAGAGAGTTGGTTGCTTCTGGTGAGATTTTGTTGCAGAAAATTCATTCAAGTGAGAATGCAGCAGACATGTTGACAAAGGCAGTTACTAGTGACAAGTTCAAACATTGTTTGGACTTGTTGGGTGTTTCCAGATGTTAAATGAACATGGTGGTCCTAATCCAGGGAGACTATGAGATGAGTTTTTTTCTCCTAAAGGGCTTATTTGCGAAAGGTGGAGATGGTTAGATAAGTCTTTTCTCCTAAGGGACATATTTGCTAAGGTGGACATACTTGATTTTTAGCTAAGAAAATGGCACTTTGATTGTCACAGTGTAATTGAACTCCATCTTGCTCTGATACCAATTTGTTGAGATTAACAAGAACAAGAAACAATGTAAAGAAGACAAGATTTACGTGGTTCGGCAATGTGCCTACATCCACGGGAGTGAAAGTATTCTCTTATTATTTGTGATGGTGTTGGTGGTGACACAACCCATTAGGGATACAACCAATATATTTATAGGCATCTAATCCCTATACAATGGATCTACCCGTTTCACTCCTACTTCTAGTATGAGACAAACTCATATTCCTAATCCATATATGAGACAAACTCAACAATCTCCACCTTGGCGAATATGTTCTTTAGGAGAAAAGATAACTCAACAAATCTCCACCTTGACGAATATGCTCTTTAGGAGAAAAGACTTGTCTCACCATCTCCACCTTCACATATATGCCCTTTAGGAGAAAAGACTATCTCCACCTTGGCGAATATGTTCTTTAGGAGAAAAAATAACTCAACAATTCTCCACCTTGACGAATATGCTCTTTAGGAGAAAAGACTTATCTCACCATCTCCACCTTCACATATATGCCCTTTAGGAGAAAAGACTTCTCCACCTTCGCAAATATGTCCTTTAGGAGAAAAAGATAACTCAACAAAACTAAAGCCTGATTAAGATCCACGACAATTTATAACAGCACTTTGTCAATAAATTTAGAAGTTCTTGCTTAGTATATTGGTTCATAACAAAGCCTGGCAGATGGTAAATTTTAGAATCACCCTAGTGGCTTAACTTCTAATGTCTTGGCTCTCTAAGATTTTTTTAAACCAATAACAATCCAAAGAAGGAGATGACAATTAGAATGTGCAAGAAGTCAGAGAGCATAAAATTGAAGTACAAAAACTATGGTGGAATTTTTGCAATTTGAAATAAGTGAATCTCAATGCATGTAAGCTTTGCTAAAAAAAAAAACACCCATTCACTACATCTTAGAATACTTAAGAGACATACCTGATTCCTGTATCATCCCATTCCCCTGCACCTCAGCTGCATCAAAGATAATTACCTCAATGCAATCTACTTCGCCCATCGGTTTCCTCTGGTTGTTTGAACTTGCCAGTGTATCTTTGCCATGTAAACTAGTTTGGAGTGATGATGGGTGCATGATATGTGGGCTGCTCTTAAGCTTATGTCGAATGGAGACTGGTTCTGCTTCTTTCTTCGCTAGCGCAGCCTTCAGAACAGATGATATAATGTGATTTTTCAATAAACATTAAGTGCTGGGCAGTGTAAAATCACTTCTAGTTTCCTATAATACCATAACAAGAAAGTGGAAACAAAACTTAGTACCTGTTCTTTAAGCTCTTTTACATCTGCAGAATCTTTGTTTACTCTTGCAGCACCAAGTTCCAGAGCAGCCACTATCTCAGCAAAAAAAAAACTTGCCACGTCGTTTTGGCTTGCAATGCAGAAGCTCAAACTCCTCAACAACTTTGCTCAGATCAACACCGACTCCACAAGCTGCAACAAACAAAAAGTTACTACCCTTTTGGCATGAAATGAACACAGTAGAGAAAACTTCAAAATCCTATTTAATTGATTAAGATCCAAACAGGAAGTGTCATTTCTTAATTGGACAACTAACACCCTAAGCAGATCTGCAGTAAACCCCACCCAAGGTTGGATCACAGTCTTTACAATCTCTAGGGAATTAACAAAAGGATGCTGGGGAGACAGCTAAATCCTTCAAAACTGACAATGTCCCATACAGCAATAACACAAATGCTGCCAAATACCCAAAGCAAAAAGTGAAGCAGAACCTTCAAATCACCATTCAATAGATAGATCGGCCAACAGAGCCTTTCAATCATTCATAACCCACCCGGTCATCCTTTCGGGGCAAAATCTTTAGAGTTTTGTCTCACCAAGAAATTTTCTTCTGCCAACCCTCCTCCATTGAGTTCATCTTGGCTTCATATTCTGACCATCGTGGCTCAAATTGTTTTACTTGTTCTTTTAATGCTGCATTTTCCTTTTCATTCTGTTCAATGATAGCCTCAGCCATAAGAACCCACTTTTGAAGTTGTTCAACAACAGATGGTAATATAAAACTTCTGAAGGCAAGTCCTGATAAAAATGTCAACAACTTACGGCAATATCATTAAGACTAGCACTAGCATAAATGTAGAAGAATGCACCAAAAAAAGTTGCTACACTTTATTTTCCTGTAAGAGAGATCCTTCAAACACATGAAGAGAGGCTAAACCTTTTCCCCGGTTTTTCTTACATCACACACCTTCAATCAGTGTCCTTTTTATTCTTAAAGCAAAGGCTTTTCAGTTGTCTCATTAAAGGAGAAAATTTTCCAATTGTTGTAGTCATTTCCGATTATCCTATTTGGATGAAGATTGGAAAGGTTACAAATATGGGAATTGTGAAAGCAAACCTGATGCCAAATATGAATACAATTTCTTTTTCACTGAGCTATTCCAGTGATTTTTAATTGCATTGTCTGTCTTGAAAATAAATAAACACAAAAGATCAAAATAAAGCAACCACAAAAGAAAACCAAACACAAATAAGAGCATTTATATAGCAAAATAATCCCTACTCTCATTCAAAATGAACTGAACAGTATTTGATAGACATTCATAACAAAATTCAAAACTCTTTGAATTAGTTTCGAAAAACACAAAAAAGCATATACAAAGAGCATATTTGTATCTCCTAAATTGAAGTGGTAAGTTGATTAAAAGATCAAGAAAGCCTAACTAGAGCCATCCACAAGTCTACGCCAACCCGAATAGCCCACAATTGAACTATCATCTTGCTTTCAAATTTATTCCGTCTTCTTATTTCATTCCAAGTATTAGCTATGACGTAAGATACACTGGGAACTCCCCTTTCTTTCTTCATCTCCCACCTCCTCAAGCTCACCTTTGCTACTTCCATCATTGGTGTGATCAACGGAACTTCATCTATAGAACATACATTCTTCCCATTGCACTGACAAAGTAGAAGATGCTCTTCTTCCGTAAGGAACTCCTCCCTCACAAGCCTCGCTGGGATGGACAGCCTATTCTGGGTGCTGTTTACATCCGTTTTGGTAAGCTCCTTTTGAATCACCAATTTCTCGACACATACTGCCCGGTTACCAGCCCTTTGGAGAATAAAATTTCTGAATTCAACCGGTAGTCCTGGTGGTGGTTCTGGACCGTTGTTGGGCACCCCACTTCCCCTCTTTCGCTTCTTGGAATTGATCCTCTCTGCCACAGCATTTCCCGCAACCTCATCAGACTTTAACCTCCTCTTTAAAGAAGCTCTGCTGTCATCAATGCCACTGGAATGTGAAATATCAGATTCTAGTGTGTTTCTTCGTGCTGCACTTTGCACCACAGAATTCAAAACATTCGGCCAAGATAAGCCATAAAATGATCCCATCAATTTTTTCCTCCATTCCTCCTTATCAGGCACTGTATGGTTTGAAGGAATGATCAAACTCTTATTGAGATCGACCCCACAGTAATGATCATCATCATCATCATCATTGTAGCATGCTTTCTTTTCTTGCTTATCCTCCTGTTTCTCTTTCTCAAGTAGTAATCTCTCTTGCTTACACACCGCAAGTAGATAATCAAATCTGCAAGAAGCCGCAGGAAGGGTAATGTCAGCAAAGTCTTTAAGACGAACCATGATGAAAATAAACACCACACAACAAGGTATGTATTAAAAACTGAATATAGCAGATAAAGAAAGTGAGTTCAGAACAGAAGAAAAACTAAAGAAACTCTAGTTAAGAATGAATGAAGACTAAGTGTATCTGTGTATTTATTGAAAACTGAATATATAGCAGATATAGAAACTGAGTTCAGAACAGAAGAAATTCTAAAGAAACTCTAGTTAAGAATGAATGAAGACTAAGTGTATGTATTGTAAACTAAATATATAGCATATAAAGAAAGTGAGTTCAGAATAGAAGAAAATCTAAAGAAACTCTAGTTAAGAATGAATGAAGATCGAGTATATGTGTGTCTGCCTATATGTAGGGATGGATCATATACATAATACATATATACTAAATTTGTTTCCAAATCCCATCAGAAATCAAAATTGGGATAAAGCATGTTGAGTTACCGTTGGTATGAAGCTCTACTGTCATCACTGCCACTGGAATGTGAAATAACAAACTCTGGGGTATTGCTTTTCCTCCATTCCTCCTTATCTGGCACTGTATGGTTTGAAGGAGTGATCAAACTCTCATTGAGATCAACCGTACTTAAATGGTACTGATCATCATCATCATTGTAGCATCCTTTCTTTTCTTGCTTATCCTCTTGTTCCTCTTTCTTAAGTAGTAATCTCTCCTTCTTACACACCGCAAGTAGATAATCAAATCTGCAAGAATGGAAGGGTAAATGGGTAATGTCAGCAAAGTCTTTAAGATGAACCATGATAAAAATAAACACCACACAACAAGGTATGTATTAAAAACTGAATATATAGCAGAAAAAAGAAACTGACTTCAGAACAGAAGAAAAACTACAGACTGAACCATGATAGAAATAAACACCACACAACAAAAAATGTATTAAAAACTGAATATATAGCAGATAAAAGAAACTGAGTTCATAACAGAAGAAAAACTACAGACTGAACCATGATGGAAATAAACACCCCCACAACAAGGTATGTATTAAAAACTGAATATATAGCAGATAAAAGAAACTGACTTTAGAACAGAAGAAAAACCAAAGAAAATCTAGTTAAGAATGAATGAAGACAGTATATATGTGTGTGTGTGTATATGTAGGGATGGATCAAATACATAATACATATATACTAAATTATTTTCCAAATCGCATCAGAAATAAAAATTGGGATATAGCAAATATTGAATTACCGTTTGTAGTTTGCATGATCGTAGCACCCTTTCTTTTCTTGGTTATCCTCCTGTTCCTCTTTGTGAAGTAGCAATCTCTCTTGCTTACACACCTCAAGTAAATAATCGAATCTGCAAGAACCCCCAGGAAGGGTAATGTGAGCAAAGTCTTTAAGACAAACCATGATATGATGAAGACAAACACAGCAGAGCAAGGTAATGAATGAAGATTAAGGATATGTGTGTCTGAGTGCGTAAATGTAGGAATTAGGAAATTGAGTTGAGTTAAGTTGCCGTTGGTATGAAGATTAAGTATATGTAGGGAGGGATAGAGGTTTCCAAATTCATCAGAAATCAGAATTAGGAAATTGAGTTGAGTTACCGTTGGTATGATGAATCATACTGTACCGTTGGTAATGGTATGATTCCCTCCAAACTTCCGGCCGCTCCCCCGCCGACTCCGACTAATTAAAATTTCAAATATTCCTAATTTAAAAAAAAAAAAAAATAGAAATTAAAAGCGTCTCTTAGCTTACCGGCGACACTTCTAGGTGGAAGAGCAGCTCCGGCTGAGGCGATGATAAGAGCTCCACAACCACCGCTCCACCCCTCCTCTGCTCCTCCGCCGTCGCATTCTCGTCAGAGCTTCTGCGCTTTGCTGCGGAGGAGGACGAGGAGAGAAGAGACACTTCGCCATTCTCCCTGTGTTCACCAACATTAACTTTGATGATTATGTAATTAAGAACATAGAATTTATATGGATGACTAAGTCGTATAAATGTCACCCTAATCAAGACTAATCAATAATTAACTCATCTAATAAATACATCATAGCAAATATTATGTGTACGTGAATTTCCACAATGTTTGAGAAAATCATGACATTTTTTTTTATCAAAAGCATAAATAATATTTTGATATTGTTGAGTTGAAAATATTTATTATTTTATACTTCAAATTTTATTATATGTTAATTAAGAATGTTGATAAATAATTCTGATAAACTTTAAATTTAAGAATTAGTAGAAGTTTCAAGAAGGATTGGGGAATCAGTAAAAGTTCCAAAAATGATTGAGGAATAAGAAGTTCTCGGAAGGATAGGGGAATCATAAGAAGTCTCGAAAGAAATGGAAAATCAAAATATGTACTTAGAAGGATTGAGCCATCATAAGATTGTTACTATTCCCATAAGGCCTTCTTTTGGTGGTGAAAGTCCGTCAAAGTATCTATGAGGTCCCTATACTATAGTGTTTTGTTCAATTTAGTCATTTTACCTTAATTTTGTTCAATTTAGTTCTTGTACTTTTAACAGTGAAACAATTAAGGATAATAGCTTATATTTATGTATTTTTTTAGACATATTAATGTAATATATTCGCGGTAAAAATAATTAATTTTAAATATTTATAAAATAATATATAAGTTGGCATGTAAGTATGATGATGTGACATATATAATGTCAACGTCATATCAGCTATTGTCCTTAATTGATTCACTTTTAAAAATTTAGAGACTAAATTGAACAAAATTAAGATAGAAGAATTAAATTGAACAAAACACTATAATACAGGGACCTGATAGATACTTTGATCGTAAAAGTCTAATAATGAATATTGTATATATTGTATTTAATTTAATATATATACTCTGTATATATAAAATTATTATATATTTCACATTTATTTATTATATATTTAGATTTATAAAATGAAACTAACTAACTATATGCCAAGCACCTTGTGGATGGCACTCGGGTTAGACTCCAATATGGGAGGTTGTGAGCTTGACCCTTAATGGAGGCAAAATTACATTGTAATAGAGTCAGAAGCATTCAAAAAAAAAAAAAAAAAAAAAAAAAAAAAAAAAAACTAACTAACTATATATATAATAACAACAATAATAATATTATTAAGTATGAGCTTTTTGGACTTTATACTACTTATTCCCTCTCAATTCTTGAAATTCCCATATATATATAATAACAACAATAATAATATTATTACGTATGAGTTTTTTGGACTTTATACTACTTATTCCCTCTCAATTCTTGAAATTCTCAGTAATTATATTCCTGCAAACCAAACACTGAAATTTAAATTACCACTTTATTCTCACATTATTCATTTCCTATGGAATTATAATTCTTTTTCACCTAATTCCCTCCCTCCAACCAAACACCTCGTCATAATGGAGTAGCATACTCATCCTTCCATACTGCATATATATATATATATATATATATATATATATATATATATATATATATATATATATATATATATAATAATAATAATAATAATAATAATAATAATGGAGGTGGTCGAGTGGAACATTTGATTAATCAAGAGTACAGTTGGCCTTGAGATTTTATCTTAGTTTTTAATTTTTTTTTTTTTTTTAAATTCGATTGAGGTTAAGGATATGATGCTTGTTTTTGTCACTACCTTCACAATTGTTGTTTTTTACGACTACAACTGTTGGTCTATTATTGTTATTATATTAGATTTAATTTTTTTGTCCAAATATGTAAATTTTATAAAGTGAATAATATGAAGACCCTTATATAAAGCTTACAATAGAGTATATTTACAGTCATTATATCGTGATTCAGGATCTACAGTGCATTGTGGACCTTGGTTCAATACACATAATTTGACTTCATAATGTATAAAATTCATGTTCATAATGTATAGAATTTATGTTCATAATACACATACACATAAACATGATATAATGAACATGAATTATGTGCATTATGAACATGAATTATGTATATTATGAATATGAATTTTATGTATTATGTTAAGTGTTTATGTGTCTTTATTGTATTGTGTTTATGTGTATGTGTATTATGAACATAAATTCTGTATCTTATGAAGTCAAATTCTTTGTATTGGACCAGGATCCACAGTGCACTGTGGACCCTCATCCACGATATAAATTGTTGTATATTTAATGACCTACATATTAAACATGTCTTTAAAAAGGTTTCAGGCCAGATCAAACCTATTGTAGGCTTAAGCTTGAGCCTAAAAAAAAAGCTTACATATAGGCTCTAACCTAAGTTTTCATAGCACGCCCATGCCTAAGTTTTCAAAGTTTGGCCTAGCCTAACCTATTTCAATCCCTAAATATATACTCCGTAATAGAACTTCGATCAATTGCCAATACAATGATTACTGACAAAACAACTGTAGAGTTTATAAGAGAATTTTTACATGCAAACAAAAAAATCAAGTTACGTACTCTTTTGGTAAATTTATCAAAAAAGTAACCTGAGAAATTTGATATTTCTTGTACTTTAAAAGTTCTGGTTTGATCATTCTTGTTGCTTAGTAAGAGAAATAAAAAAACTTTTGATATTTTATTTTACACACCTGAAGATTGTGATCAAGTAGTGATTCCTTATTTTTACCAAGTCCATGTTCATTAGACTTAATTATGTCCCTAACAATAATTATACAAATAGAAGTGAGGTTGTATATTTGTATATTTATAACCTAATATACCTTGATATATTTTTTTTTTCATACCAAAACAAGAAACTATAATTTTCCAGTGATCAAAGAATCCAAGTTACACAGTGGAAGATCAAAAAAGATCTACACTCCGGTAACCAACGGATTTGGCCAACAAATGAGCTAAATTATTCTCACCTCTAGCTAGGAACAAAATTAATGCTAGCATCTTGGATAATAAATGATTGATTTTATGTTCAAATTGAAAAGACTATGGACAATTTTTAATCCTTACTTTGTTAGTAATCGATAGACAAAAAATGAGAAACATTACAAACCATGAGGAAGTAAAAGTTATATATATATATATATATATATATATATATATATATATATATATATATATATATATATATATATATATATATATATATATAATAATAATAATAATAATAATAATAATAATAATAATAATAATAATAATAATAATAATAAAACATAATAAGCTTCAATTAAGGTTATATCCTTGATTTATGTCCTTCTTTTTGTATGTAAATAATTATGTACATTGTACTTTAAATGTTATACATTTCAATGTTATTAGACAAAATTACCCTTACAACGTCATAACACCGTTAGTATTTAATTCTAACATTGATAACACATCATTATTATCATATACATATATCTATCATATCTTTTCCTATTTTTAATTATCATTTTATTAAAATCATTATATATTAATTTAATGCTTAATTATATTTTAATTAAATTTTTATGAATGATAAATTATATATGTGTGTCTACAAAATACATATATTATTTTGGTATATATAATTCAAATTATAATTTTTAATTAATTGTATTTATCAATGTTTTAATATTGGGCATAAATTTTCGCGCATCGCGCATACAAAATGTTAGTATTAAAATAAATGTTAGAGTTGAAATAATTTGTAATGAAAAAAAATAATATTTTTATATTAATTTATGAAAAATTATTACATTTTTGTTAAAATTATATTATATTACACACTTTTCTCATTAGTTTCATATAAGATCAATTTACTATATATGACAAAATCTTGTGTGAGACCATTCCACACATTCTTAACCGTGAGAGCATATCTGCCTCATAAAAGCTCACAACCACCAAACCATCGCATTCTCATGAGAATTGTTGTGCTTTGCTGCAGAGGAGGACTCTTTGCCCCCCAATGAAGAGAAGATAAGATACAATGCGACTCTATTCTCATCGGGTTGTCTCAACCAAGTTATGGTACTAAATTTTGAAAATGATTTTCAGACTAAGCGACATATTTAGTTTGTTGAAATATATTATTCAATTCAGTTAATAAGAAGATATTGGTTTTAAAATATTATATGCTATTAAATCTACTTTATTTTTATAAATTTATTAAGATTTCATATTTCTCTAATATTTTTCTTTTACATTATGTAGGAAGAAGAATACAATAAAGATGAAGATGTTGATAAGGCAGTACCTAGATACAGGGGTGGAGCCAGAATTTTTTTTCATTGGGGGCACAACATTACAATAAAAGAGATAGTTTGAAAAATAAAACACTTAAGAAGTATGGACATAAATATTATTGAATATGAGTAAAAAATAAAGCATATTAGAACTATATAAAAATATTCATAACAAAATATGAAACATAATTAATTTGATAAAATAATTAGAATAGAAAATACATTATAAATTACACATCTCATTATTAATATAAAAGAAGGTTAATGTAGTTATTTATAAAATTAGCTAGATCAAAGCAATTTTTTTATCAACTTTTTGAGAAAGTCATTTTGTATGTATCAACTATTAGTTAATTACTTAATTTACTAAACATCTTTTTAAAATTAGCTAATGTTATTAACTAATCAAATCACTAACCTAATCAGCTAATAGTTATTTACCAAACACTTTCTAGATGATTTTGACAAAGCAAAATAGACTTCTATACTTCAGAAATTAGGGGCCGTTTACTAACTGAAAATTTCCGAAAACTGGAAAAATAGAAAACAGAAAACATGTTTACTAGCACAGTTTTCCATTTTGAAAACTGAAAATAATTTCTGAAATTCTGAAACACACTTAAAAAAACTGTTTTTGAAATGAAAAACCGAATCATCCATTATCTATTTAGTTATATGTCACTACAACCACATTACTATGATTACATTCATTATCATCT